CTACGAGGCGTTTTCAGCCCTGGGCAGAGCATCCCCTCGGCGCAGGGGCTGGAGCAAGGGGCAGATGAGACCTGAGCAGAGCCATGCGGGCGCTGCCGGGGACCATCCACCAGCGGCGACCCCAGGGCAGGCGCAGGAGGAGCGCAGGGAGGGAAGGGAGCAGAGGGAAGCAGACAGGATCAAAACCACCGCGTTAGCGGCGGGGCGGCCCGGGATAGCGCGGAGCCATTCGGTACCGGAGGGGCTGAAGGCAGGAGCCCGGCATCCGCCGCTCCCCGCTGACCCCGCCACTGGAAGTCACCCCTGCCTTCGCCACCCCATCGCTCACGCACTGATGCGCGCCCCATAGAGCTCAATCCCGGTGCCCTCTTCCCCTTGCCTGGGGGCAGCAGCAGGACCCCCCCGTCCCACCCCGTCCGGGTCCCGCTGCTCCAGGGCAGCTCCCCCCCCGCACCCCATCCCCATTGAGCGCTATGGGCCGGGACGCCCCGCATCCTTCACCGGGGGCAGCCCGGGGCCCGACCCGCGATCGCGACCGGTCGTGGCCAGGGACCTGGCGCCACCTCGTGGCCCAGCGGCCGGGGCCAGCGACCCCTTCCCTTTCCTCTTCCCCTTCTCCTTTCACTTCCCTTTCTCCCGCCCTTGGCTGCATCGGGATGCTCAGAGTCCGAAATCACGTGAAATCAGGTGCATTGTCCCTTCCCTCCCTCTCCGCTTCCACTTCCCTTCCCTCAGCTGCCGGAATGGACGCACCAGGATGCTCAGAGTGCAAAACCCAACAAAATCAGGGGAGTTGCTGTCCCTTGACTTTCCTTCCTATTCCCTTTTCCTTCCCGTTCCCTCAGCTGCACCAGGCTGCTCAGAGTGCAAACCCCCCGGGGCAGCAGGTGAACTGTTGCCTCTGCTCAGAGCCCACAAAGAGGCAGAGACTGGGAGGAAGGGAAAGCAAGCATCAAAATACAAATCACTGCATGAAGGCGAGGGGAGAGGGGTAACGGGTCCCTCAGCTGCTGCAAGCCAGGCCTGCGGCCACCCAACCAAACCCTCTCTGCACACAGTGCCCTCCAGGCACACAATCCCACAACGAGGACTTCACAAGCCCCGAGCTTTGAACCCATCACCATGGGCAGCCCCAGGGACCGCGCTGGGCACAGGGAAAGGTTCCCTCTGGGCTCGGCCGCAGGAGACATCCCGAGGCTGGGACCGGGCACTAAAGCCCTTTTGTTTTCCCCCACCCAGTGACCCCGCACGGAAGAACAGGAGGATTGTCTTTCAAACGGAGCCGATGGGGAGCTCGCCTGTCCCCTCGCCACCTCGGCCATAAATCACCCTGCCTGTGATAAGGTAATTACCTTCTCCTTGAAACTATTCATAGGAAACCCTATAAAGCGCCTGCCTTGTAAACACAACAATAAAGAGGCAGGACAATAAAACCTTGGCCGGGGTGGGGAAGGTGCTGCCGGCCCCAAGCACCTCCTGCTTCACCAATGGAGTGTCCAGAGGCTGCATCCAGCCCCACTGCTCTCGGTGGCAGCAAGCAGGTGGCACAGGGCACACGCACCCCATGCTACCCCACAACCAAGCATCGGACACATGAAACCATCACTGACCTGGCTATGAGGCAGGAGAACCCAGCTCAGCTCCAGCACCATCACAACTACCCCCAGGACCGACCACCAGCAGCAGAAATAGCCCCTGGGGCTGGGCACAGCTGACCCCCATGAACGACCCACAAATCGGGCCTGAATCTCCTCAGCTGCCCCTTTGCTCTCTTAGAACGTGTGTCTAGGAGGTGTTGAATGGAGTTAGTTCCACCAGCCAGGGCAAAAACCAGCTCCTGCCTCCCTGTTCTCCCCTGTGCACGCACTGGTTTTAACCCAGAGACAGCTAAGGGTGTCCAAAAGCTTGGAAAAGATATTCCTATACAGGAGGATGAACACTGGCATCAATGTAAGACCCATCCTCTTCACAGGAGGTAATGAGCATGTGGGATGAGACCACAAAATCCACACTCTACCTGAACTGGTGTGTCAGTCTTTAGTGAAGTGGCCACAGGTCACATTGGTGCCTGGATGCTCAGAGTCTATGAGCATCCCTAGGGACACGGGACAGAAGGGAGCAGCTGATGGTGTGCACAACCACAACCGTGTTTTCAGTGGCCATGGGACAGGTTTCTGCTAGAGGCTGAACACAGCTGTGCCACAGAGCCTGGTTCAGATGGTGGGAACTCAAAGATGGGCACAGCTACAACTGCAGCAGGCAGAGAAAAGGAGCAAGGGTCAGCTCAAGTGTCACCTGTAACTCAGGCTGCTCCTAAGCCAAGCGCCCCACTAGGGACCAGTGAGGGCAGTGGTGGTGCTCAGCTCTACCCCTTTTCCAACCTCTGTCCCAGGCAGCAGCTCAGCATTCCATAGCACTGACAGACTGCACAGCAGACATTGGCAGAGCTGTTCCTTGCTGCAGCAGCAGTCACTCGTGCCAGGGAAGTGGCTCCATACCTGCATCAATAAAGACTCCATCACTGTGAAGGGGTTTCGGATACTCACGGCACTTGAGGCCCACTGAAACCAGCGGCGTGGCTGGGAGAACAAAGCAGATGAATTCTGTACCCCAAAGAGCTTTTACAACAGCCAGGGCTTGCTCTGAGCTCTGTTCAAACATCCACCCAGGGGTTAGGAGAGCAGGCACTTAACTCCCGGCTCATTCCTGGAGGCATGGATTTGTCCCCAGCAACATCAGAGAGCTCTGTCCTCCTGCAGCTATCAGCACAGTAAGCACACAGCAAACAGAGCAGGGAAGGGGAAGGAGACAGAGCTGCAGAAACAAAGCCCCATGTGCTTTAGGACATCACTGCACCTCCACCCAGGGGTAGCCTTCAAGAGGCACAATCCCAGCCTTGGAGGACTCGCTTTGGATTTTCTGGCTTAAAGAACCTAAGGAATTTCCAGGTTTGGGAAGGCAGGAGGGAGGCACAGGCCCGGTGTCAGACCCAGGGAAGGCAGACGGGTAAAGGCAAAGTGTGTTTGCTCTAAGGAATTATTCAAATATTGGCAGTTTGGGGTTTATTGCAGGAACACAACATTTGCAGTGTTCAGAAAAACAAAATTCTTCCAGGCCCTTCCTTTACAACCGTGATTTTGAATACGGCAGCCAGAGTAACCCAGTGCTTCCAGATAAGCTGAGAACAGGCTGGTTTCATAAAACACACCAAGGAGAAGGTGTTTGTTTTCCAAGGGTAATGCTGTAACAGAACTGCACCAACTATGAGTAAGGAGAAAAGCAGCTGTTACAGCTGAACCCAGGACACGGGTGATGTGCAAGCAGAACCAGGGGTTCATTGAGCACAGAAATGAAAAATAATAACAAAATATATTAAATTCTCCAATCTTTTCCATCAGGTTTATGGATGACTTCAGGAAGTGTGGATATCCATAAATCCATGGGTCCGGATGGGATGCACCTGCGGGTGCTGAGGGAACTGGCTGAGGTCATTGCTAGACCGCTCTCCATCATCTTTACCAAGTCTTGGGAAACGGGAGAGGTGCCTGAGGACTGGAGGAAAGCAAATGTCACTCCTGTCTTCAAAAAGGGCAAGAAGGAGGACCCGGGTAACTATAGACCGGTTAGCCTCACCTCCGTTCCTGGGAAAGTGATGGAACACCTTATCCTTGGTGCCATCTTAAGGCATATCAAGGATAAGAGGGTTATGAGGGGCAGTCAACATGGCTTCACCAAGGGGAAGTCGTGCTTGACCAATCTCGTAGCCTTTTATGAGGAAATAACACGGTGGATGGATGATGGTAGAGCGGTGGATGTGGTCTACCTCGACTTCAGCAAAGCGTTTGACACGGTCTCCCACAGCATCCTTGCGGCTAAATTGAGGAAGTGTGGTCTGGATGATCGGGTAGTGAGGTGGACTGTGAACTGGCTGAAGGAGAGAAGCCAGAGAGTTGTAGTCTATGGGGCGGAGTCTAGTTGGAGGCCTGTATCTAGTGGAGTGCCTCAAGGGTCGGTACTGGGACCAGTATTATTTAATATATTCATCAACGATTTAGATGAGGGAATTGAGTGTACTATCAGCAAGTTTGCTGATGACACTAAGCTGGGAGGGGTGGCCGACACGCCAGAAGGCTGTGCTGCCATCCAGAGGGACCTGGACAGGCTGGAGAGCTGGGCGGGGAATAACTTGATGAAATATAACAAGGGAAAGTGTAGAGTCCTGCATCTGGGCAGGAACAACCCCAGGTTCCAGTATAGGCTGGGGAACGACCTGTTAGAGAGCAGTGTAGGGGAGAGGGACCTGGGGGTCCTGGTGGACGACAGGGTGACCATGAGCCGACACTGTGCCCTTGTGGCCAAGAAGGCCAATGGCATCCTGGGGTGTATTAGAAGGGGGGTGGTTAGTAGGTCGAGAGAGGTCCTCCTTCCCCTCTACTCTGCCCTGGTGAGACCTCATCTGGAATATTGTGTCCAGTTCTGGGCCCCTCAGCTTAAAAAGGACAGGGACCTGCTGGAGAGAGTCCAGCGCAGGGCAACTAAGATGATTAAGGGAGTGGAGCATCTCCCTTATGAGGAAAGACTGAGGGAGCTGGGTCTCTATAGTTTGGAGAAGAGGAGATTGAGGGGTGACCTTATTAGTGTATATAAATATATAAAGGGGGAGTGTCACGAGGATGGAGCCAGGCTCTTCTCAGTGGCAAACAATGAAAGGACAAGGGGTAATGGGTACAAACTGGAACACAAGAGGTTCCACTTAAACCTGAGAAGAAACTTCTTCTCAGTGAGGGTGACGGAACACTGGAACAGGCTGCCCAGGGAGGTTGTGGAGTCTCCTTCTCTGGAGACATTCAAAACCCGCCTGGACACGTTCCTGTGTAACCTTATCTAGGTGTTCCTGCTCCGGCAGGGGGATTGGACTAGATGATCTTTTGAGGTCCCTTCCAATCTCTAACCTACTGTGATACTGTGATACTGTGAAGTGTGAAACCAACTGTTTAAACACCAGCTAGAGGAAGCGCTCGTGCCGGATGGCCCGTGTGAGAGCAGTGGGTTCTCCCCTGTGCCCACTCAGAAGTGTAGGTTGCTGGTCACCAAAAGAGGTGTTTCTAAGCCTCTTAATTCAGCAGCACTGGTGTGGTTTGTTAGGATATCCTGCAGGTAAACAGACACTCTTACCCTAGCCCTGCCCTGCAGCTGCTTCTCTAACCCACCGAGATGTTCAATAGCTCCTCTTACCACTCCCTCCCTCTCACCCAAGTCCGTGTGGGTTCCTGCTTCGTTTTCTTCAGCACCACATTTCAGATACTGCAGGACATAGGATTTGATTGCATCCCTGTTCTCTGTTATGGTTTCCCAAACGACAGGCAGGTCTGTGCTCTTTGCCAAACTCAACAAATGGAGCAGAGCCTGGCAGATCTGTGTCCTGAGGGTGGCACTGTACTTGAACTCCAGGAAGTCCTCGGTGTCTTCACTCTTCTGCAGGGCGACCACCAAGGCACTCCAGATGTGGCAGAACTGCTCGGTGGAGCCGTAGCATTCCCTCCTGCTTGGGATGGAGAGGGCCATGGCTGACTTGATCCGGACTTTAAAGTTCTTGCAGGACTTCACCACTGAGGAAAGGACACTATAGGCTTGGGCAGTCCAAGGAGCCTCTCCTAAAAACCCCAAACCAAACCCATGCCAATCAAAATACATAAAACCATAAATCCACCTCCTGAATATTGAATGGGTTTTTACATTTACTGTATTTATTCTGGTGTAAATGAGAGAATCAGGGGGTATGAAATGAAAAATTATTTACAAAGCTTCCTGCAGAAGATTAACTGGTTTTTAAGAGGAAAAGTGACATTTTGCATCTATTCACAGCTATAATCCCATCCTCATGCTCTCTTCTAACATGACAGATCCAACTGAATATAGCACACTGGTGCCTGTATTAACATTTGTAGGATCTGAGCCTATTTCACTGGCAGGAATGCTCTGACAACAAGGTTCTGCTCAGTTTGCTTTCCCCCTCTTCCCCAACACACGTGTAACAGAGCCCTTCTTATCAAGACCACAACTTGCTGTGCAAATCCAGAGCCAGGGGGACACGTTACTCACCGAGTGGCAAGGCAGGGTTCTTAAACACATTCCCCAGGGCGTAGCAAGCATTCCAGCGCACTTTCATAGTGGCCTCACTCTGAACAGTGGAGATGAGGGCCTGGAGAGACTCCTCAATGGCTTCCCTGAACCTAGGGTTTGCTATGTGATACGGCTGAAGGAAATGAAGCACGTTCCCAAGGGCCCGGACTGCATTGCTCTTTACCTGGAACACACATAACACACAAAAAAACCCCAAACCATGTTGGCTTTCAGCCTATAGGCAAAGCTTTTGTCAAGTTTGCTGTGAAATCACGCTCAGAGCCAAACAAGGAGCCTGTCTGGAATCAGATTTGGTGTCTTATCAGATGGCAAGCTCTTAAATGAAAGAACCAAACCAACCCACTCCTGCACTGGGGAAAAGCACAATCAGCTACCCTGCAGGTCAAACAGGAAACCTCCAAACGTGAGCCCTCAAGAGAGGATGCTGAGCTGCAGCTTCCCATCACTGGGGCAAAACACCCCAAAGTAACCAGTGACATCTCCCCCCGCTCCTTTTCTTCCTTGGAACAACAATGCAAGAGTTAACCACACCATGACACAGCTCCACCCTCGCTCGTACCTTGTCTCTGTCTTTGGATGCTTCAGTTGCGGAGCGTAACATTTTCAACAGGAGGAGATCCGAAAATTCCTCATGAAAACTTTGTCCCATCGTTTCCCTGGCAGGAGAACCGCACAGTGAAAGGCCAGCTCGGATGATCCATCCCCAAAGATGGGATACAATCCCTTAGAGAGGCGTATGAACAACCTTCACTCTTTAGAGGGCTAATATGTAAGGCAGACCTTACTACATGTGACCACTGTGTTTATTAATTTAAAACCAAACTATCAATGCAAGTAAGCCAGTTAGCAATGCATTAAGTCTGTAATAAAAAACAGAGGGCAATGAATTGCTCAGAGGCAATTCTGCAGCAGGAATATATGATAACTATTCCTCCTGTTAAAAATGTAACAGTAGGTCAGTCCTTGGCTTGAGGAAGTGTTAAATATTTATTAATTTTCCTCCTGTGTTATGCTGAAAGTAACCAGGAAAACTCAGTTACACACAGCAACACACAGGCAATAGGAAAGTGAAAAGTAAACTTGGAATAGACTCCAGACTAAGGAGCAGAAAGAGCTGAACCCAAGCAGTTTAGAACTCAGCCCTCAGATGGACACCAGACTCTTGTAACAGGGTCACAGACACACAGGCTGAGTGGTTAAAGAGAAGCACCTAAGCCAAATTTGAGGGGGTTTTGATACTAAGTAGATTAGTGCCCTCTGTGTGATGCTACAGGAGTAGGGGCAGGGAGAGGAACTGCAGAGGCCAAGGCCACTTACGTACATGTTGATGATGAGGGTATCTGTAAGATTGCCCAAGGACCACGCTGCTTTGGCACGGACGTTTGGAGACTTGTCATGGAGGGAATCCAGAATAGCATTTGCTGTGTCTGCCACAAACATCACGTCCTATGAAAGTAAGAAGTGCTGCAAAGTCAGGAAGCTTCAAAGACTCAGGTGACTTCCTCAGTAACACATTCACTCTGGCCTTTCCAGGGGAAACGATACCTGCACAGAGACCAGCTCCATTCATATTCTCAGTATGTTTGTACAGCTTGGTTTGATCTTAAATTAACAGTGATCAAGTTCACCACTCCCTTGAGTGGCTGTTGCTGAAAGGTTTCAATGTATTATTTCATTTTATTAGTGCTTTAGTTACTTTGGATTTAACATCATTTCCTGGACTGCCAATCTTACTCTCATCAAATCCCACTCGAAGTAATTCCTTCTCCAAACTCCCTCTTGAGCTGCCTGTTTAATCTTCTCTTCTATGGCCATTACATTTCATTTTCATTCCCTTGCCTATGGAAAAGAGTTTGCTTTCAAAGTCTTTTGGAATCAAATCTCAACATCAGCTATCGCATAATTATTACAATCACACAGTTCAGGCCACACTGCAAAAACTCCGGACTCTCCCAGCTCAGCCAAGCCAAGACCAAGTTTTCCTATGGAAACCATCCAGCATTTTTCTCTAGAGAAGCTTTACTTCTGAGCTTGGAAGCAAAGCTGAAGCATTCACATTAAAAACACGGTGTATCCCTGCTCTGCCTTCACAGCTTCACCTCATCTCTTGCAGCTCCTTTGTGCCAACCTGGCCCCCCACTTCTGTCCCTAAGAGCTCAGGGAAGATCCTGGCTTCCCTCCTTTTGCTCTCACTTATGAGGCACTTTACCTTCTGCAGAGAAGAAACCTGCACTGGTTCTGTTCACCACATAAGAGGTAAGATCAGCTCTGGAGACAATAAGGAAGAGCTACATACACACTACAGACCAAAAGCAAGCAGGAAGGCCGATTCATTCCAAAAGAACTCATGTCCCACATCTTACGCTTCACCAGACCCGTTATGAAATGGCTCAACATAAGGAAAACAGGGCAGTTCTGACCTGCCTGAGGCAAGAGAAGAGGATGTAGACTCCAAGTGCACGTGCGGCAGCAGCTTTCACCAGCGGGTTCTCACTGTGGTTCAGGCCAAGGAGCAGAGTGACACACAGGATCTGCTGGTCATTCTGCAACGAAAACCAGTCATGGCAATAGGGAGAAAGTGAAAAGATCTCTGTCTCACTAAGACAATTGAAAACCCCTTGGATGTGGAACCTATACAAACTACCATTCAGAGCATAAGCTTTAAAGTAAATTGCGTGGCGTTTCAGGATGCCACACAGGAAATGGGCATGCTTCCAGCAAACATAATCTTGTTGTTGTTAGGTAAGACTACAAAGGAAACCAAAATATTAACTATCATCCAAATGCAGACAGCACGGCCCAGCAGAGGTAAACCCACTGGATCAGTTGGTTTTTCCTGTCTGACTTCACTCTTTCCCCTCCATTAACAAGGACAGCCAGGCAGACTGAGTTCATCCCGGACAGATTGTCAGTTTACCAATCCATGACAAAGATCTTGGTTTCATCAGAGCAAAGGGTCAGAGTGGGCACTGACTTGACCCCACAGGGACAAGAGAGTGTACGGGATCAAAGTACAGGGGGATGAAGTACATGCTGTGCTTGGAGAAACCGGACGGAGAATTCCAGAGATACTGCTGTACTAGCAATTCCTGGGCAAATGAGATCTGGCAGAGTACTCCCATCAAGAAGGGCACAGTGACATAAAAGGAGAGGCACAATGCAGTGGTGATACACTGCCAAGGCTTTCATGTTTAAAAGCGTATTTTATGTTGCAAACGGAGAGTCAGGCCAACATATTTGTTTGCTTCTGCCAGGGCAGTTGCCACAGTTCAGTGTTTTAAAAGCCAGCCAAGAGAAAAGCCATGCATGTGAACTGATGACCACCATCAGTCCATGGCTGTTAGCTCAGCTGTGTCTTCAAAGATTTAACCAGCAAAATAACAACCCTTCACCCCTCCCTCAAGCAATGAAATTCTTGCCCTCCATCTCTTCTGCATCATTGACAAGGCCAAGCATTCATGGCAGGGCCAAACAGCTTCTGTGACCCACAGTTTAATTGTTCTGGCATATTAATAACTCCCAACATTGCCTTTTCCAGTCTTCAGTGGTCACAACCTGTTCAGAATGCTTATGAAAAATCTGGAAGGTTTCTCCACCCTCTCATTTTAAGCTTTAAGAGGCTTTACACTGCTGCAATCTGGTAGACAAGATCAAAACCTCAGTGGGTTTAAAAATGCCACCTTAAAGGAGTGCTCTTACCTTCAGTCTGCTGAAAGCTTCAGGCAAGATAGAGGACAGGGCATCACAGGCACTTGTCTGCAGAGTCGGATGGGGAGAGCTCTGAAGAGTGCCAGGCAAAGGGCCATTCAACATCATGGTCCAGAAAGTTACAACCTACAGAAGCAGCAGCCAGGTTTATCTACTTAAACTCAGCAATTACACCTGAATTCTACATCAGGTTGTCTTTTGCTATGATCATCTTTAAGATATACTTACAGCAGGTAGCATAATCACACATGGAAGTGAATGCAACTCTTCACAAGCCTAAACTACTTGGCATTCAGAAACATTTTAGTCCTGCTATCAAGTACTTACTCACTGAGTTCTGTTTCTTTCCTTCTCAAGGCAGTATACACTTGGATTAGCTTGCATTAGGTAGAATTACAACCCCCTTCTTGAATCCAATTAATATGCTTGACAATTTGCATTCACATCGAGTAACAGGACCCTGGTGCTACTGGACATGTCTCCTATCTTGTAGGATCACTGGTGACCAGCTCAATACTTAGCATAAGCCAAGGAAGCTTTTAAACTTTGCTTCTGTTCACAGAAGCAAGACTTAACCAGGCCGAAGTTACTACCAGAATGCCAGTGCCCCAGCTTCCACAAACCTGTCCAACAGCCAGCCTCAAACAATGGCCTTTCCTGAAATCGCATGTGCTGTGGTTCTTCTGCACTCGTGAGCAGCCAGAACATGCAGGCTGGCTCTTGTAACAATGCAAGTTCACCAAACTCTGTTCTTCCACCTTTCTGACTTCAAGGAGGTAGGAAGAGGAGGAATGAGGAAAGGCAGAGAGGCAGTGTTAACACCATGTGAAACAACACCCCCCCACCACCACCTGCCTACAGACACAAACAGAACAATGAAGGAAGTCTACCAAAATTCTCCCTATCAGCACCTATAAAGCCACAGGGCACCGAGTCCCTTTGTGCTTTCCTGCAATTGATTTATTCATCCATGCCAGTGGCTTTGCAGAGCACTCAAGAGAGGAAGCTCAGTGAAGTGGAATCTCAGAGGGAGCCCACACTCTTACCGTGCTGACCGATACTCTCTGATCAGGGCTGATGGCTGAATTGGGTTTGTACTGCTGCAGTACACCTGTGCCCAGCTCCTCCAGGAGCTGCAAGGAAACAAAAGGCAACTGGGTCTTCATCAGGGAAGCCTCAAGTTCCATGGAACCATAGCAACCTTTACCTAGGACTGTCATTATTTCCCCAGGGAACAAAACGGAAGGATTCAGTATTGCTTTGGACTCTATTCTGTCCCTGCTAGTGAAGAAATTAGAGGAAAAGCCTTTCTTACATCAAGTCATCAGCTAGGACAGCGTAACAAATTGCCACACAAAGAGGAAATCTCCTCTGAGCTGTGCTCTGGGTGACAGAACACAGCTCCTGCACCGGCATATGCTAAATCACACGTGCTCTGCATATCCATCACTACTCATCTGTATTTGCAAAGCACACTAATAGATAAAATTGACTCAGTGAAGCAACACTCCTCATGCTCTTACTTTGGCTCCGTGAAGCTGAATGGATGGATCCATTTCTTCCATGCATCTGCAAGCCACTTCTCCAAGCTCTAGGAAATAGCCCTGAGCCATAGGGAAATGGCCTTTCACAAGCAGCGCCAACACCTAAACACAAACAAAAGAAAATCCATTCACCCTTTTGTTCTTTTATTAAACCAAAATACCCCAAATACACACAGAGAGGATGCTCACGTGCAAATCAACACTGGAACCACATACTAAACTCTGATGTACCTTGCAATACAACTTCTAGAATACTAGAGCTCATTCAAAACCTTCCTGTTCATTACCTTGTTCAAAACCAGCCACAAAAGCACTATCAGGTAGCAACACAATGAATTATTTACTGTAAGTGAGGTCTCCTGTAGCTAAAAAACCAAGCAAGAGTGCCTGTAGAGCAACACATTCAGTATCTCCCCACCTGTAAGGCTTCCAGTCGAAGGGGACATGGTTCATAAACGCTGGAAAAGGATGGGAAGTTCACATCACTGTCAGAACAGGAATCCTCTCTGGGCAGAACGATGATGGAAACGCAGAGACGGAGCAGCCAGCATGGCTCTGGAGATGTGCATCCTGCTGGGTTGTCCCCAGGCTCCCCTTCTGAGGGGAGGGCTTTTCTCCACTGCTCAGAGGAATTAGAACGGTGAGGGGTTGTGCTACCACTATGACTTAGCCCTGAAGAACCGGGCTTCTGCAAAAGTAACTGCACCTCTGGTAAAGGTACTTGGATAGATACTATAGCCCCTAATAATGTGAGACTAGAAACTCGGACATTAACATCTGCAAGAAAGAACAGGGCAGGGGAAGAAAAAGCCACTCCATTAGCATCTCACTGACACATCAGCATCCTTCAGCAGTTTTCAGACAAGACAGATCATAACATGTAATTCAATAGAAATACATATGTTTCTGTATTTATGAAGCACAGGGGGAAAGAGGGAAATCCACAACTATTTCATAACAAGCACTGCTGAATGAAGGGATCACATGAACAAAGAGGCTCCAGCCAAACGGAATACAAACCTTTATGACAAATGTAGGGCTTTATCTGGTTCCACACTCTCGTCAGCAACCCAGGTTTTAAACGGCTGTATGGGGCATTTGAAACCAAATTTGCAAGGCACTGAAACACACGGAAGAACATGCATGGAGCAGTGGTTATGTCAGCCTGGCCTCCAACACATTTGGTTTTATACTGGCAATTTTAGGTCATTTTGACAGCTAATTACCTAAGGGCACCTAAAACCAAATGCAATTATCTGCTGTTTGAAAGCTGGCTACAGACTTGGCTCCTAAGAACAAGTATTTAACTGCTGTGACCTGGCATAAAGACCAAGGAATTTCCGTAGCCCTTGGAAAGCTTTTTGTGCCTATTTCCACTTTTAAAGCCAATGTGAGTCTTCAGAATCATTTTATAGGTTCACTCAACCCCCAAAAATACACAAAATGAATGCAGGAACAAGAGAGTTGTGCTGGAAAGAACCCTAGAGCTCTGTAGGAAGACTCAATCAATGATGTCGCATGAGATGGTAACAGATTATTTCCCACCATCTCCACCACAGTAATTCCTTGCAATCCTTCTTCAAGACATAATCCAGAGATCAATATCATCTCTTGGGCAGCATTCAGAACACTAACGGTACAGTTACCTTGACTATTTGTGTCAGTGTTTGAGAAGAGGATTCTGCCACCAGGGCCAGCAGCAGACAGCGGTGCAGTTCCCGGATGCTAGAAGCAATAGTTACAGAGAAGGGAGTAAAAGCTCTCTTGTGATCATTAATGTCTTCAGCAACAGAAAGGAACTGCTTGGAGCCTTCCAGGATGGCTGAGAGGACCTGAAGAGCACAGGCACGGGTCTGAAATGATAAAACATTCATTACCCACTCTTAACACCTCCTTCGAGCTCATGGAGAACATTAAAAGTTTGGGAAGTCTCCTTCTCAGACAAGAGAAAATTCAACTCCAACTATTTTTATCTCACAATACAACCAATCCTTTTTTTCCTTACACAATACATCCTCTTAATTTCTTGCAGCACAGTGACCAAGCAACACAGATACAGTAGCCAAAGTACTTACTGAAGGCCAGAGAAGACAACTCAAGATTAACATGGCAAAAATACAGTGCTTTTTCTACTCAGAGCTGCCTCACCTTTGGAGAAGGGTCCTTTAAAGCAATAGTCATCAAGGACACTGACTGGGGGCTGCCAATACCAGGAGCATCGGGAACAAACGCTGACCAGTAGCCATAAAGAACTCTTTTTTCCATTGATTTTATAGCAGAGAGGAAACAGGCCAGAGCCCCCTGACGAACACTGGCTTGGTAAGATCTTAAAAACAAACAAAAGGATTCATGAAATAGCAGCAAGGAAGAGTAATGGACCTAGCCTCTCAACCTCTCACTAGCATTAGCGCCAGATGTGAGAAGAAATTCTTCAGACCAAGAATAGGAAGAGGAAGAACAAATTTGATTTCAAACCAATACAAATCACAGCTTCCCTATCTTCTTGTATTATCCCATAAATCAAAGCTGTTGATTTTCTCAACAGCTTTAAGACCAAAGCACTAGGACCCTGTTGGAAGTGTGGGAGGCTGCACAGGTGTAAAATTCACGTCAGGTCTGCAGGGACAGAAGGTGTGTTTTAACATGACACACGAGTTGAAATTGTTATGAACACCAGCACGCTCTGCTGCTGTGCTTCATGTTTACACCAACAACAATCACCTCACTTTGCTCTGTATTCCACCTTCAGCATCGGTATATTCCGACTCACTGCTGCTGATTCTTTTCCAGCTAGGATAACGTGAAGACAAGGGGTCCTTCCCAGCAACATCTGATGCACGACTCCGAGGATCTGAACCAGGATTCTTCTGCACATTTCCCAAGTGCAACTTCATCATGTCTGCTCCAAGGGCTGATTCATTTCCTGCATCACCCGAATCTCTCCCTTCCTCCACAAACTCTCCCTTCTTTTGTTTCCCTTTGGACTTTTTTTTTCTGTTCTGTTTTAAGACGAAAACCACATCTTTAGTATCTGAGAGTCTGCAAACTCTGATTTTTAGTAGCAACAGTAACATCAGTATAGGAATACCTTAGTGTAAGCAAGCAGTTAATATCTGAATAGCCTCAAAATTTAAGGTTTGGCCTCTTCATCAGAAAGCTTTCAGTTAAAAACCCTATTTCACACAAAAGTGATTGAAGGAGTGAGGACTGAAGAAGAGGAATGGTAAATGCTGCTGTAGATATACAGTAGACATTCAACATGTAAAAAGAAACAAGTCAACATGACCACACATCTTTATTTTCTCTCATGTCTTTCAGATAATTGGTAATCTAAAATGTTTACAGGGTTAAAAAATAACCTGTAGAAGGATTAAGCAGAACAAATGGGGTGGGGGGAGGAAATCAGTCTCAAGATGAACTTGACTCCCCTAGGAAAGAGTCAAACAATTGTGCAAGTGTTAGGGAGAAAATGTAACTTATAAAATAAGCTTTGCCTCGTCTGCACGCATCGATCCCATGTCTGCAGGCCAAGAATTCTTGGCTATAGATGAGTAACTGATGCACAGAGCTCAGCTCAGGTAAAGCAATCTCCTCACTGCCATTTGCTCTCCTGATCTGAGTTTACAAAGCAGTTTTACTCGGAGCAGAGATTTATGACCAATACCTTTAAAGCAAAGAATGTGAAATGTATCAGATGCTCAGAGCACAAAGAACAACTAACATCAGTCAGGTAACACACAACTGCACAAACACATGCACAATGAACATGCAGCAGAACCAGTGTAATTCAAACTTACCCCTGTCTGCTTAATGGTGGCTGGTTCTGACTGTTCCTGTTTGGCAGGCAACCTTTTGTCGTACTGAGGTAGTGGAACTGGGTACAAGGCTGCTGGCACCTCTATGCTCAGTCCTGGCAGTCCATGAAACATACATTTCTAGAATAGAAACAAAACCATTTACGGTCCTTTCCCTTTGTGACGCACAAAGATTTACTCTGTATTTACTCAGGTGTTCATCAGTTTTCAGTTCGGGTTGTAATCCTTCCCCTAGGTCTTGCCTCTCCCCTGTAAGTGCTATATAACAGCATTGCAACATCAGAAATTCAACTACATCTAAAAGGATTTTAAGTGGGTCCAAAAAAATGAGCCTCACATCTTTCTCTCACATTCTTTTGTGGGAACTCCAGTGAAGAAGCTGTGAGAGAAACTCAGTGTCATCTTTATATCTCACAATACATATTCCCCCCCATGCTCATGCTTCTCTGCTCCCTCCTTCTTGTCTTCTATTGTTTCCCATTTAACAAGCATCTGGAACATGCACCTTCCAGAGTCTGCCTCCTTCTCAAGGTGGATTGAAGTACTCACCTTCAATACTGCAAGAAGAGATCCTATTTGGTCAGTCTGCATTAGCTTCATCTTCCCACCATTGAGAAGTGACTGGATACCTTTCAGTGCATTCTGCAGTAACTGAAAACCAACACACAGAATTACGTACTTTTCCTTCCCAAAACACTGAAGGTTCACATTTTTCAAGTGACCTTCTGGGCAATTATGGTTTAACTCAACATAATTACTGGGACACTTACTTAGGTTTATTAAAAACCCAGACTATTTAAGCAAAATCTCAGTTGACAACATTCCAAATGTCACATATTCCAAATTCCAACATTCCGGCAGCACAATCTCCTAATGAGAGTATTCTAGACAATTACACTCACCATGCAAAAAGTGATGTCATCTACATCAGAGGTTTTTGAAGACTGCAGAACACTTAGGAAAGTCTGAAAACAGACACTTCTGTAGGACTCATCCAAGTACGGCTGTTCAGGCACGCTGAGATTAAAGCAGGAAGAGACAAGTGGTTGGTTTACAATCCATCCCACAGACTCAGACCTAAGCCCTCTGCTAGGCTGAAGAGCACAGCCTCAGGTGGATGGTGGCTCTTTGAAAGGGATCAGCTCCACCACTGTGAAGAACAGAAGGAAACCTGCACAAAGAGCTAGTACAGTCATAGCGTGCCTTACACCTACGCTGCTTCTGTGGCCTGCTTCTTGATTACAATGACTCTCCAAGCATAGCTGAACAAGCTCTCATGCTTATAAATGCTTTTTAGGCAAAAATCAGCATTGAAAAGGGCTTAGAATGACTGTGGCATCAGCATATTTACATGTGGAACGGAAAAATGGAATAACTGACAATCACTGTAAAAGCTTTTAACTGGCAATTCCTTGTGCAAAATTAACCCAGAGGACCATTGCAGGGACCACCCAGAACTACATTTCTTATTTTCTTCCTTAAACTAATATCTGTGTCATTATATCTGGAAGACTGAGAGTTTACCATTTTATCCAGAGAAAAGAGCCCTTGGAGCACTGAAGTTCTACATTTCAAATTCATGCATATACCCCTTACTAGACCTAAATTTGCTCTTCCCAGCCCAGAGCAGAGCAGCCGTCCCTGCTGTCAGATGTCCATCTCCCAAAGCACCCACTCCCCCATCTGGAAGGCTCGCACGCACCTGAGACAGAGGTTTGCCATGCTGCGTACTGCTGCCCTCCGGAGTTCCACGTCGGGCTGAGCAGCATCGCTGAGCTGCACCAAGAGCCCAGTCTTGCCCAGCAAATCCGGGAGATGCTAAAACAAACCACCAGGAGCCGTTAGGAATCAGTGCTTTTCCCTCAGCCTCCTGCTTCTTCTGCTTGGTAGCTAAACATATCTATGCTACCAAAAAAAGAGCTGTCAGCTGCAGATCCAGATCCCACAGACAGATTATGTTTAGACAAAAATGACATGAAAACATAAACTTCCAAAGTTCCCTGATTTTGTACTGAAAATTCCCGAGTGTGAGCACAGTTGAGGCTGAGTCCCAGTTTATGCTTTCTTCCCAGACACAAAGCTAAGTTAGTAACAACTGCTGTACCAAATTGCTGCAGTTATATAGGCTACAAACCCACGCAAGCTGGCAGCTCCAAAACTGCTACCATCACCTCCCCGTGCTTCAGCCCAGCAGCAGAAACTGCTCTGCACGCTGCCAAGAGCTGGCGAAGGCAGGATTCAACACACCAAGCACCATCAGTCATGCTGCAGCAACAAGGAGCTTCATGCAGACCCCTCAGGACTGACACCTGATAGGCTCCACTTTGAAAAGGCTTTGAGCCCACTGATCTGGTTACTGGGTAAATTTCAGGCTCCTCAATGGAGCCTGCTGAGTAACATGCAATTTGAAGCTCCCCGTGTTCTTCCTGCCTGGTACACAGGTATACCAGGGTGGTCAGACTGCAGACTAAGCCTGGTGCCCTTCTTTAATAGCCTGTCTTTGGCTCAAGCCGGGTAAGAAGTGGTCCCTATAGCTGCAGCCTGCAGGTATAGAGGTATTTGGCATGGGAAGATTCTTGTTATATCCTTATTATTAGTAGATACATCCACCACATCTGAAATTCAACTTCCATCAGTCACTATTTAAATGATACCTAATCTTAACATGAAGATAAGGAAATCTGAGAACATGATCGTTTTCTATTCTTTCTTTTAAGGAAAAAAATAAATAAAAGTAGAAATAGGGTGCTTGCAAACTCACTTTCTGACATTTAGGTCCATTATTGTAGACAAGAGCTGCCAAGGCTTGCACAATTTCCACATGTGTCCAAGAGCTGCACTGTTTAAGAGCAGAGATGCAGTAGGAGAGAAGGAAATTCAAGTTCTGTTCGTCAACCAGCACCTGTTGGAACAGAGAAGGTCAAGAAAACATCATTATGTACTGCTGGAGCTAATATACTGTGTATATTAACTAGTATATTAGCACATACTAATATGCTCAGATAAACTGGTTACAGACTTGGGTGATCTGGCTGTTAAAACGACAGAGCATCACAGAATCAGCCAACACTTAGGAAATGGATAAACCAACCCAAGTGTCCTGTAACTTGGATATTTTTGATGGTGTATCATGCTTGACAGAGCTGTTCTTACATGGGGAACCAAGCTAGAGCCACAGATCAGAACCTCAGCTAAGAGTAAACACGCAATACAGGGAAAAATCCAAGCAACTCTGCATGAAGGTTGGCTCCACAGCACTGTAAGAAAGCAGGAGGTCTCCCTGGCTTCACAGTATCACAGTATCACAGTATCACAGTAGGTTAGAGATTGGAAGGGACCTCAAAAGATCATCTAGTCCAATCCCCCTGCCGGAGCAGGAACATCTAGATAAGGTTACACAGGAACGTGTCCAGGCGGGTTTTGAATGTCTCCAAAGAAGGAGATTCCACAACCTCCCTGGGCAGCCTGTTCCAGTGTTCCGTCACCCTCACTGAGAAGAAGTTTCTTCTCAGGTTTAAGTGGAACCTCTTGTGCTCCAATTTGTACCCATTACCCCTTGTCCTTTCATTGTTTGCCACTGAGAAGAGCCTGGCTCCATCCTCGTGACACTCCCCCTTTATATATTTATATACACTAATAAGGTCACCCCTCAATCTCCTCTTCTCCAAACTATAGAGACCCAGCTCCCTCAGTCTTTCCTCATAAGGGAGATGCTCCACTCCCTTAATCATCTTAGTTGCCCTGCGCTGGACTCTCTCCAGCAGGTCCCTGTCCTTTAACTGAGGGGCCCAGAACTGGACACAATATTCCAGATGAGGTCTCACCAGGGCAGAGTAGAGGGGAAGGAGGACCTCTCTCGACCTACTAACCACCCCCCTTCTAATACACCCCAGGATGCCATTGGCCTTCTTGGCCACAAGGGCACAGTGTCGGCTCATGGTCACCCTGTCGTCCACCAGGACCCCCAGGTCCCTCTCCCCTACACTGCTCTCTAACAGGTCGTTCCCCAGCCTATACTGGAACCTGGGGTTGTTCCTGCCCAGATGCAGGACTCTACACTTTCCCTTGTTATATTTCATCAAGTTATTCCCCGCCCAGCTCTCCAGCCTGTCCAGGTCCCTCTGGATGGCAGCACAGCCTTCTGGCGTGTCGGCCACCCCTCCCAGCTTAGTGTCATCAGCAAACTTGCTGATAGTACACTCAATTCCCTCATCTAAATCGTTGATGAATATATTAAATAATACTGGTCCCAGTACCGACCCTTGAGGCACTCCACTAGATACAGGCCTCCAACTAGACTCCGCCCCATAGACTACAACTCTCTGGCTTCTCTCCTTCAGCCAGTTCACAGTCCACCTCACTACCCGATCATCCAGACCACACTTCCTCAATTTAGCCGCAAGGATGCTGTGGGAGACCGTGTCAAACGCTTTGCTGAAGTCAAGGTAGACCACATCCACCGCTCTACCATCATCCATCCACCGTGTTATTTCCTCATAAAAGGCTACGAGATTGGTCAAGCACGACTTCCCCTTGGTGAAGCCATGTTGACTGCCCCTCATAACCCTCTTATCCTTGATATGCCTTAAGATGGCACCAAGGATAAGGTGTTCCATCACTTTCCCAGGAACGGAGGTGAGGCTAACCGGTCTATAGTTACCCGGGTCCTCCTTCTTGCCCTTTTTGAAGACAGGAGTGACATTTGCTTTCCTCCAGTCCTCAGGCACCTCTCCCGTTTCCCAAGACTTGGTAAAGATGATGGAGAGCGGTCTAGCAATGACCTCAGCCAGTTCCCTCAGCACCCGCGGGTGCATCCCATCTGGACCCATGGATTTATGGATATCCAGATTGCTCAACTGGTCTTTAACCCATTCCTCATCGACTAAGGCAGACCGCTCCGTTGACCTATCTTCATCCGAGGTCTCAGCGGTACAGGGCTCTTCAGGACTGCCTCCGGCAGAGTAGACAGAGACAAAGAAGTCATTCAGTAACTCTGCCATCTCTGTATCTTCTGTCACCAGGGCACCCGTCCCGTTCATCAGCGGGCCTACATTGCCTCTGGTGTTAGTTTTACCTGCCATGTATTTGAAAAAGCTCTTTCTGCTGTCCTTGACCCCTCTCGCCAGCTTTAATTCCAAGGAGGCCTTAGCCATCCTAGCAGCTTTCCTACATCCTCTAGCAGCAGCCTTATATTCTTCCCAAGTGGCCAGCCCTTCTTTCCATGACCTGTAAACTCTCCTCTTCCACTTGAGCATACCGAGCAATTCCCTATTTAACCACGCAGGTCTCCTGACCCTCTTCCTCGACTTCCTACGTGTCGGGATGCTCCGATCTTGAGCTCGGAAAAAGCAGTCCTTGAACGTCAACCAACTATCTTGGGCCCCTTTCCCTTCAAGCAGCCTAGCCCACTGGATTTCCCCTAGCAATCGCTTGAAGAGGCCAAAGTTTGCCCTGCTAAAGTCCAGGGTTGCGATTCTACTTGCTATTCTACTGACCCTACCACACAAGATCCTGAATTCTACCATCTCGTGGTCGCTGCAACCAAGGCAGCCCTCAACCTTCACTCCTTCAACCAGACCCTCCTTGTTAGTGAGGATGAGATCCAGCAGCGCACCTCTCCTGGTTGGCTCATCCACCATTTGCATGAGGAAGTTATCATCCATACACTGGAGGAACCTCCTGGACTGCGGCTGGGTTGCCGAGTAGTCCTTCCAGCAAACATCAGGGAAGTTAAAATCCCCCACGACGACCACGGCCTGTGACTGTGAGGCCGCTGTCAGCTGCCTGTAGAAGGCCTCGTCAACTTCCTCACCCTGATCCGGTGGCCTGTAACAGACCCCCACAACAGTATCGCCCCTGCCAGCCTGCCCCTTAATTCTCACCCACAGACTCTCGACTCGCTCATCATCTGTCCCCGGACAGAACTCAACGCATTGTAGCTGCTCTCGCACATAAAGAGCAACCCCACCACCCCGCCTGGCTGGCCTGTCTTTCCTGAAAAGGACATAGCCCTCCATGACTATATTCCAGTCATGTGAGCTGTCCCACCACGTCTCTGTAATTGCCACCAGGTCATAATCTCCCGACTTAACACAGGTTTCCAGCTCCTCCTGCTTATTTCCCATGCTGCGCGCATTGGCGTACAGACATTTCAGGGAGCGAGCCGAGCACACCGATTTCACCCTAGGATTACAGGAGGCCTCCCAGTCTTCATCAATTCCGGAGCGCTGTCCCACTGAGGCAAGCCGAGCTACAACCCCATCCCCCTTCAAATCTAGTTTAAAGCTCTCCAAATGAGCCCCGCTAATTCGTGCCCCAGCATCCTTTTACCTCTGTGCGATAAACCTTTCCCACATGCCAACGTCCAGGCCGGTGCCCTATAAAACCAGCCGTTATCAAAGAATCCAAAGCCCTGCCTGGAGCACCAGCCTCGAAGCCAATCGTTTATGGACTGCATTTTCCCATTCAGTCCCACATCATCAACAGAAGATGGAAGGAGCGAAGAGAAGATCACCTGAGCCCCAGAGTCTTTCACCATCCGCCCCAAGGCCCTGTAGTCTTTCTTCATCTCCCTCAGACTGCGGGAAGCAACTTCCCCTTCACCCGTCTGGAAGACCAGCAGCGGGTAGTAGTCTGTCGGGCGCACCAGGTTGGGGAGCGCCCTGGTGATATCCCTGATCCGGGCTCCAGGCAGACTACACACTTCCCTATGATGAGGGTCAACTCTGCATATCGGGCCCTCTGTTCCTTTCAGAATGGAATCACCCACTACAATGACCCTTCTTTCTTTCTTACCAGAGGCAGTCTTGAGGTGCGAAGTCGACCGCTTTTTCCTATGTGGCCTTGTAGGCGGGCCTTGCACCACATCCTCACCTACCTCTCCTTCCAGATCCAGGGCCTCAAACCTATTACAGAGGGACACCTGGGGAAGCGGGGCAGGAAGGGAGGAGGGCTGCCCACGACGCCGAACCGGAACTCGCTTCCAACCCTCCTCATCTTTTTGGTCCCCTACCTCCGGGCGACAGCTACATGACAGGGGCTGTCTCAGTCCATCCCCCTCTGTCTGAGAGGGCAGGGGGTCCATCCTCTTTTGGGGGGTATCTCCCTGGAGCCGTTCCAACTGGTTAGCCAGGGAGTTACTCCAGCAGTCGATCTCCCTTTCACACTCCCTGATGCTCCTCAGCCTCTCAACCTCCTCCTTAAGTTCAGCCACCAAGCTAAGCAAATCATCCACCTGCTCACACCTCACACAGGTGGAATGCTGTCCTCCCTCCCCCGGCAGCAGCAGGCTCTGGCACTCCCTGCATCCAGAGACCTGAACAGCCACGGTTAGGGCCGGGGTCTCTGTCTGCGTTGCTACAGCCCTCTTACTGCTAGCTCTCTTTCTGGAGGCGACCATACTGGTCAGCACAACGACCTACCTGTTCCTCCCTGCACCTGGTGGGCAGCGACGGGTCGCTGCCCTCTCAAAGGCTTTTTCAAGTCAAGGGGCAGGGGAGTGGTCGCCGTTCGCCGTGGGAACGCCCCCCGCCACGTCAGCCGCTCTTTCGCAAGGGCTGCTGGAACTTCGGGAGTCCGGAAGTGTTGGCTAATGTGGGGAATCGCGGTGGCTCCGCTCTATCCCCTCTGATTTTCCTGATCTCGGTAGAAGATCGCGGTCGCTGTAGCGTGCCGGCTGCGGCTCTAGCTAGGCTAGCTCCAATCAGCTGACTGAGTGTGAGTAGCGAGTTACAGCCGAATTTAAATCTCCCGCCGTCACCGTGGGAACGCCCCCCCGCCACGTCAGCCGCTCTTTCTTTGGCTTAGTGAGGTACCCGGGAGGCAGCACACAAGGAAAGAAGGGGCAAGGCCAAACTTTCCCTACCTGAAACCTGTTAAGTAAGTGATGGATAAGCTGACAGACTTTGCTGACAAGATGTTCCTGATCAAGGTGAACCAGCTGACAGGCTTGGACAAGCAGCGCGCAGACATCCTGGAAAACAAAGCCTCAGTTTATTACTTAGAGACTACAAAGCCAGGGTGGAAGCCACATCATCAGCTGAGGCTCTGACTGCACAACCAGATCTGCGTGTGGGTACCACTGGCATTGATACACAGGGATAATGAAATGAATGAAACTCCAGATAGTGAGCTTCCCTTCCCCTCGTTCACCCACAGGCCCTCATCCCTCTGCAGGGGGATGCTGACACAGGACTCATATTGCAATAGTACTGCTCAAACAACACAACTTAAGCACTAGAGTTAAATCCAAGCCAATAATAGTAGCAAAATAAAGTCAGATCAATGCACAGAAGGGGCACGGGGAGACCACTGTCCAAAGAAATAAATTCCTAAGTGCAAAGTAATCCTAGTCTGGAAAAAAAATGAAGGAAAATGGGTAAATCAGCAGTGCTTATAGAGCAGTAACAAAGTACAGTGTGCTCCAAACAAAGCAGTGTCAATACCGTGTAACTACAGGACTCAGCTTTGAAGGACTCACTTTAAACTTGACATGTTTTATCGTACGAATACCAGACTATGACCTTACTCAGTCCTTCTGCCGTTACTTACTCCTGCTGCCTATAGACCCATCACTGCCCGCTCACCAGCATCTCCCACCGCTCCCCCCCACGCCGGCAGCAGAGCTCACAAGCCCCGCAGGAGGCAGCGGAGGGAACCCGGGTGAAGGCAGAGGGGGGCCAAGGTGCTGGGTAAGGGGGAAGAGCGGAGGAGGCGCAGGAGAACCCCGCGATGGCCCCGCTCCCACCACGCGGTACCTGCGGGCTGGGCCCGGCCGCCGGCGCCGTGCCGCAGCTCTCGGAGATGAGCTGGTCGAAGAGCAGATCCAGCTCGGTGCGGCGGCTGCTGCTGTCGGGCCGTCCTGCTCCGGCCCCGGCCCGCAGGGCCCCGAGGCTAGCCAGGTACCGGCGGAAGGAGCCGCCCGGCTCCGTCTCCCCCTCCACGGACGCCGCCATCTTCCACCTTCCCGCCGGCGGCGCTATGGCAACGCGGAGCACTTCCGGGGCGGCGGGAGCAGCAGGAGGGGCCTAGGGGCCGAGTGTCACCTTCACTGCATTGACACCATGAGAGCGGCGTCACCCTCACTGCATTGACACCGTCACAGCGGCGTCACCCTCACTGCATTGACACCGTCACAGCGGCGTCACCCTCACTGCATTGACACTGTCACAGTGGCGTCACCCTCACTGCATTGACACTGTCACAGCGGCGTCACCCTCACTGCATTGACACTGTAACAGCGGTGTCACCTTCACTGCATTGACACTGTCACAGCGGCATCACCCTCACTGCATTGACACCGTCACAGCGGCGTCACCCTCACTGCATTGACACCATGAGAGCGGCGTCACCCTCACTGCATTGACACCGTCACAGCGGCATCACCCTCACTCCATTGACACCGTCACAGCGGCGTCACCCTCACTGCATTGACACTGTAACAGCGGTGTCACCTTCACTGCATTGACACCATCACAGCGGTGTCACCTTCACTGCACTGACACCATCACAGCGGTGTCACCCCTGTTTGCTGTGTCACCCTCACTGCATTGACACCATCACAGCGGTGTCACCCTCACTGCATTGACACCATGACAGCATCGTCACCCTCACTGCACTGACACTATCACAGCATCGTCACCCTCACTGCATCATCACCCTTGTGCCTGTGTCACCCTCACAGCATTGGCACCATCATAGCAACATCACCCTCACTGCAGCATCAACATCATGACACTGTCACTGTCATTGCAATGTCACCCTCACAGCTGTACCACCATCATGGTACTGCCACCACCATAGCAGTGTCACCCTCACAGCACTGTTAACCCTCACGGCCATTCCACTCTCACATGGCACTGAGCCCAGGAAGGAAGGGGAATTCAGGATGATGGAGCAGCAGGACAAGCACAAGCACCTGCCCCAGGCAGTGACTGCAGCTCTGGGCCTTGGGACTGGGTGCCGTGGCCATGGGGAGCACCACAGCAGGTGGCACCGCCTGTCCATACCATGACCACAACACCCGGAGCCACTGGGACTGTGGCTCAGTGCTCCCTGACTGGAGCAGGAGCCCTGAGAAGCCATGCACCCTGCTCCCCAAGGAGCGGCTGGGGGGGGATGTGCAGGTTTTAACCATCGTGGGCACTCAGCATTTCTTTAAAAGCAACTGTAAGTGATGGATGTAACCTGGAATCAGAGCGCAGAGGAGGGCTGCTAATCTGTCACAGGCTGTTCCTGTTGCACACCCGTCGCCCTGGCCCAGATCTGTCTGTACCTGGTTGAAGCACAGAGATGTTAACAGATTTACAGCACTGGGGACATGAGGGACTGGTAGCTGGGAAGAGAAACGTGCCTGCCTTACGGATGCTCCTTCAGATATGATCTGCACCTCACCTGGAATTCATTCCTTGCATCAAGTGAACAGCAGCCTCCCGCCACTTCCTTGTGAACAGGATCCCAGGAGAGAAGCCAAGGACTGAAAGGCCCCAGTTGATGAGGAAATGCACTTGATTGGGACCGAGCCAAACCTGCTGCATGTGGACCGCTGCCAACACAGGGATCTGCATCAGCCAGGACGGAGCAGGAGAGCTGCAGGATCAGGGCATGGTGTCCTCTCCTTCCATGGCACAGGCAGGTGAAGCCAAGGTCTGGAACCTCACTCGAAAGGCTCTTACCCCTGGTTCACCTCACTTTACCTTTCCTTCATCTCCTTATCAGACTGAGCACCTCGAGCAGGAAAAGTACATGCTGTGCCACCAGTGCTGTGGCCTTGGCTTTCTTCTTTGCCCTGGGGCTGTCTGGTTCTAATAGCTGTGCTTCTTACCTTTACCATTCCATTTATTATTTGTTCCAACAGGCCTCTGAGGCAGTCACAGCAAAACAAGTAGCAAAGAGACACCCTCAAGCGTGTTAATATTGTGCAAGGATGATTTTAGAGCGCTCCCTGCCATCTCAGCCCAGCCACTGCTCTGGGCAGTGCAGCTGCTTCATAGCCTCTAAGTGCTGTGGGAGGCAGCAACTGGGAATGGACTCATGCAGGGCTGCATTGGGATTGAAGTCTGAAAGCCAGGAATGTCAGCATTGCCTTCCCAACTTCTCTATTTGGCACAAAATTCCACCAAACCCACACTTGGGGGTTTGTTCCTTTTGTCACAAATTTATTTTGTGGTTTATTCTTTTAAGAACTTCTTAATACATCTTTAAACTCTTCCTTTTTCCTTGCCCTGTTTTCAAAGCGGTGCTGCAATGTGTGTTCTCTGACAGCAGCTCCTGTTTTTGTGATGCCCTCAGAAATCCATGACTGAAAGCAGACTGACACTGCTCATGGGTTTAGAAACCAGCCCAGAGCTGGGTAAAGATGCTGCAGCTGATGGTGTTACACCAAGGTACATTTTATCTTTGCTCACCCCTCCAAACCCTCAAAGGAGAGCAAATGTGGTGGGGTATGAGGGAAAACAGCACAAGTCCTCGACTGTTAAAACTCTGCTACTGTCATGCAAATACATCTGGTTCAGCAGCTCAGAAGCAGACTTCAAAGGACACAGAAGTCATTAGAATCACAGTTCAAAGAAGAAAAGTGAGCAGCTGGTCTGGGCCATCTGGCTGGGGACATAAAATGGGCTCTTTCTGCCCCAGTCAGTGTATGACATTTTCATTAATCTCAGGAGCATCTTAACATTAACCAAGATAATGCTGTTCAAAATGTAAGTCTTAATAAATCATCAAAACTGTTGTCTTAGCAAAGCTACAGTCCGGGCTGAGCCTTCCTCCCAGCATGCCAGAAGTTGGTATTTTCAAAGCAAATTAGTGGGAATTGCATTCCTCAGGCTCCTTTGAAGGTCTCAAGGAGGAATGTGCTCAGGATTCCCCAGGCTGTGGAGGAATCACCTTCTCTATTGATTCCAGAAGCCACTTTTGGTTTAAAAACATATGGAGGAGGTGCCCTCACTTGGGCTGGCTTCATCTCACCAGTGGGACGGTGCTGGGATGGGGCTTAGCCCCAGGACACCCCCCAGCAGACATCTCACAGCCAGGGCAAGTTCCAGCCCCAGTGGTGTGAACAGAAATCCCTGGTTTAGCTGCTCTGATGTCAAGGCCCTCAGGAGCTCCTGGAAGTTGATATTCCTGTTGAATATATGGATGACTTCCTTGAAATTCAGGCAGGTGGTTTGATACTGCAGGGATGTGACAGCTGCCAGGGGGAAGCCAAACTAAACAGGAGCCACAACGGAGAGCTCAAGGGCATGGCAGATACCTGCTGATTTTGACAAAGTGATGATGACCTGGGAACTGATGCTGCTTCTCCTGCCTCCTCCTCACCTTGCAGAGCTGTCGGCTCTGTCTCCTCCTGTAAAAGGCAAAATGGAGAGTTCATCTTCATGTTGTTGCTCTGGGAGCATACCTGGCCCAAAACCTGCATGGGAATTTGGGGGTTTTGAGCCCCAGGCTTTCCCAAACACCACTGTTTCCATCAATCCTGCCTTTGCTGGTCTTTCCTTGGAAAAAGGGATGCTTGCAAAAGTGTGCATGCAGGTAATACAGGCCTGGGACCGGATCTACCTGCACCCCGCTGCACATCTACCAATCCCCATAGGCATGTGCACATTCAGCCCCCCATACTCAGTGGGTGTCTCACAGCCTTCCCGGCTGTTTTCCCAGGCTGTGGCCAGCTGAGAGGACAAACAGCACTGGCTCTGGGCTTGTTTGCACTGAACAATAGACACAACTACTTGAAATCCTTCCCTAATCTCACTCTCTCCTGCAAACAACTGCTGGGTTATCAGGATCTTAGTGCGAGGCAGCAGCAGAGACTGGGACATGATTCCATAGCTGGGATAATTCCTCCCCTGTAATAAGGGCCATTGCAGCCGAGCCTGGTACAAGAACTCGGTTCCCAGATTTTGGGAACACTGCTACTGCCTTCATGCTCCTCTCCCGAGGATTCATCCTCCCAGAGCTGGCAGAAGCTGGGATGCTTCCATCTCTGCCTTTCCTGGGAGATGATGGGGACCCAGGGGACTGTGGTGTGAGACAAAGGGGCACAAAATCACAAAATGGGATATAGAAACTTTTATAAGAAGTTTTAAGTAATGTTAAGTTTGATGGCTTTGTAACAGTAACAATGGAAAATTACTGAGGTGCAGGATACATAGAGAAAAAAAACAGAGTACAACTGGAGAACATACTAAGAATTCTCACAAGATAAATCGTTATAGTTGGCCTAGTTTTAAGAAAAACAGTCTAGAAGAACAGGACCCAGGGATAAGGAGTATCTGGGAATGGCAGGTGTCCAGGATGGGCTACAGTTAAACTAACTGATAAGTAGGAGGATAGGAGGATTATTATGTCTCTGGTGCTAACGAACCAATTAAACTGGTATGAGCATCTACTGCGCGTGCTTCAAAGGCTGCCAGAAGTGATGAAGATCGTTGGAAGAAGTAACCGACCCTCAGAGACCACCACCACAATTCTGTACGCATGCGGGGAACTCTCTGGAAAATGATGTAATCCATACGTAGCCTCATGAATATGTATGTATGCCCAGTGACTATATAAGGGTGGCTTGAATAGCAGTACGGGGACACACGTTAGGAGGATTTATCCCCCGTGTCTCCCGGCGCCGCAATAAAGAATACCTGCTTGTCAGCTTGAAAACTTTGTTGGCAAGTTTGTTCCTGGAGTTTTCTCCGAATCAGGTGAAGCCTGGCTGGTGTGAGCAGAGCCTGCACACACCTCTACACAACACAGCACAGACTTGCTTTTGGAGCTCCAGACCTAAATCTGTTCTCATTAGAGACTGAGGAATTAACACAGAAAATCTACCTGCCCAAGCCCACGAGGGATGAAGGAGCAGGGGCTGCCGTCACCGCTGGGCTGGATCCCAGGAAGCTCTGTGAGGAGCCAGGAACACAGGACCCGAAATCACAGCGACCTGCTGGGAGTTGGAACCGCCAGCAACCTGCCAGGGATACACACCAAACATGAGCTAATCCCAACAAAAATAGGAGTGAAATCACAATTCAGATGCATAATTCATGTGCATAATTTTATCTCCGCTGGATATTCCCCAGGGATGTATTCTAGAAAATGCTTTCTTTCCCCTCCCCTCATCCTTCCAAAAGTGCCGTAGATGCAAATCACTGGAGGCAGTGAGGGGTAGGAGCTCTGCTGGGTTACTAAATCAATGCTAAATTTGTCTGAGTTTCTAGCCTATGCCTTGGCAAGTGATGCACATTGAAGCTGTTGTAGAGACATGCAGGCTTGGAATAATCACAGGATTTTAATTGCTTTCATTGTGAACCCCAGCTCCTGATTGTATCCGCATGGAAAACCAACACTTTGCACTTGCAACTGCTAAAAACGTTAAACAATAATGGCAATTAGGAGATAATTATAGTTACTCGGAAGCCCGGCTTGGAGTTAGGGCTCCAAGAAGACATCCCAACCGACCAGGAAGCGCTGCCCTGTTTACTGCAGACCTCAAGCTGCTCGTTCTGTGATGCGAGACCTGCCGGATTTAATTGCTTAATGATTTTCTATAAAGCATTTAAGTCCCTGTATCTTCAGCCAGCCCAGGCTCTGCCTGAATTGCACTCATCAGTGCTGGAGGACAGCAGCAGTGTCAAAGCCCTGGCCCGGCACCCGATGTGTGCTGAGTCACCCAATGGGTTTCTGCTGCTAATTACAACACCGCAAAGGTCCTGGGACCCCTGGCCAGGGGGACAGCAGCACCCATGGGTGGGTCTCTGCTGAAGGAGGACACATGGGTGCAGCCCCTCCACAAACCATGGTTTCAAAGGGAGCCTTCACAATGTGGGTCCAAGTTGAGCCCATCCAAGCTGACCCAAAGGCCACAGAGGAGCAGACACTTTTGGCCCCGGGCATTTGGAACCCTTAAGAGAAATAAGGGCTTTTAGAAGTGGATTTGAGAGGTTTTGTCCTTGCTGAAGCATTCTGGGCTTCCCTCAAGAACAAAAAGGCATTTCTTTCTTTCCAGAGCCATGTTCCAGGCCGGGTGCCAGCTGCCTGCGTGCAGGCTGCAGCAGAGGCACGTCCCAGCTCCGTGACAGCCCTGGGTCCTTTCCTGCCTGTGAGAAGGGCATGAGATTAAACCCCAAACCCGTAATCAAGCCCTTGGTGCAAAGAGATCTGTGTAAGAAGGGATTTACATTCCTCTGACTCAGCTTCAGCAGCTAAAGCCTGGGGCACGCTGTGTGTACACCCTGGAGCTCAGCCCTGCTGGCAAACCTTGGGGAAGTCCTCCTCATGCTGCTCACCCCCTGCTGCTCACCCTGGCTGGGGTAAGACACGGGAAAACCCTTCCCGATGGCCTCAGTGCACCGGGGCACCCACACAGGGGTTGCTCAGGCCAACGGGCTGGTGGGAGCACACATCCAGCTCTGCAGATTCCAGCCCCATCAGTGGGTAGGACTCAGCGGCCAGGGCTGCAGGAACAAAGGGCAGCTTTCACTGCATTCACCCTGCACAGGGACTGCTGTGGTGAATTCCTCGGATGCTTTTATGGGCTGCAACCAATGCACAGGGAGAGCACAGCTCCCAGCAATCCCCTCCCCCTGAAAGCACTCCATTCACACCCGGGATGCAAGGAGGTGAAAGAAAAGGCCGGGGGTGTGTTTAAATGCAGGGGGGCCTACTGCATGGAGGGCTTGAATCTCTCCCCAGAAGCCTCCCTGTCCAGCAGGCCAGGGGCACAGGCAGGCAGGGTCTGGCAAGCAGCTGAGCTGCAGTCAGGCTGCTCTGCAACAGCCATAAATCAATGGAGATGTGTAAGCAAGGGAGGGAACAAAGGACATGGAGAGGTGCCATGGCCGCTGGCAGCCACGCCAGAGGATGGCGTCTGAGGAAAGCCTCTGACCAGGCCTGCATGGGATGAGAGCTGTGGTTGAGATGGGATGAGAGCTGTGGAAACTGGGTTTTCCACCAGGCCACAGCAAGCTCTGTGCATTTGATCTCAGTCCCCAGCTGGGACAGAAGTGGACAGTGAGGCCACTACAGCAGCCTGTGCCCACAGGCAGGAGGAAACAAGCTACACCAGGGCTGGATAAAACTGTCCCTCCAGTTTAACCCAAGGCCACATCCTGAGAGCAAAGCAGCACCTGGGGTTGCCCCTGCTCAGGCTGTGCTGGGTGCTGAGACCACTGGTGCTCAGTGCAGTAGAAGCAAGGTGCCTACCCCCTAACAGCAGGGCTGGTGGAGGCACTGACCTGACAATAAGCAGTTATTTGTCTCGTTGGTAATGAGTTATTACTCAGCCTCAGTGAGACATTGCCTTAAGGGAGGAAGCATCTGATCATCTTTTAATAAACACAGTTGACTCCTGCAGCTCCTGTATCTATAAAGCACTCTGAGACACATGGCTTATGCACAGACACTGCTGCTATGAGTCACAGTCTGAGAAAGGGTGTTGGAATCATTGCTCAATAAATAGAACAAAGCAGGGAAACCTCGAGTGGGCAGGGATGGCACAGCCCTGCTTCCTTCCCCGCGTGCCACCGGCCTCCTAAGGACTTACCCCATGGAGACTGAAAGTGAGGTAAAAACCATTTCCATGTCCTCTGTCTTCATCTCAAATCTCCCACAAAAGCACAGAGAGAAGGATCCATCCCCTGGGTACCACGTTCACCAGCAGCAGGCTCTGCTTCCGCGTGCTTGAGGCTGGATGGGAGGGAAGGAGAGCACTGACACGCAGCCTGGGTGTTCCCATGGGAGCAGGGTGCAACGCCCGGTCCCTGTGCAGGATGCCCAGGGTGGGGAGGATGCTGCCATCACTTTTTCCCTTCCTGGAGTCCTAAGTGGTCATGGAGAAAGGGAAGAACATTGTGCCCCAGGCAGACCAAGGCTGGCTTTCCCTGCTCACACCTTCTCCTGGGGCGTTGCACCATGCTCCCTCCACAGAATGAATCCCAGATCATGGCTAGCAGTTACACACATGGAGCACAGCTACCCACAAACAGCCTGCCTGCTCTCCAGTGCCACAAAGGCCACATCTGGAAGAAATATTCCATGTGAGGAACTGAGTAACTTGGCTTGTACAACAGAAAGTAACAGGACACTCTCTCCAACCACAAACCACAGTTACCCACAGCAAACACACACGCACATCTGCAGACACTGCCCTGCACCCAGACCCCCACCCACAAGCACTTCAGGCTCCCCTGCAAGCAGACATCTTCTGAACCTTGTAAAGCAAGGCAGTAACATGGACTGAGTTTACACTTCAGTGGCATTTTGCCCAAGCACATCTGGAAGCAATTTCTTTCCCCGGATACATACCTTCCAGCCAGTGCCCCACATCCAGATGTTTCCAAACACCTTCATGCCCCCGTTGAAACGGAGCAGCCATCCTGGGGATACCCTTGGCTCCTCCAGCACGGGAACAGTTAATGCTCAATGCAGGACACCTGCGCCTGGTGGAAACCGGAGACAAAGCGGAGCCCAGCAATGGAAAAAGCCAAAGGCAAAAGCTGTGTCCTGCAGCTGCTGGGGAGGCCGAGGGGCTGGCAGCAAGGACAGAGAGCTCTGTGTTAACACCTTGCATCAATCACCCTCAGCCCTTTAGAGGGAAGCTCTGCACACCTTGGGGCAGTTTGTGTCTTCCAGAGCCCCAGGGCTATGCAAGGGATGGATTAGGGGGAAGGCTGAGTACCCAGTGTCCACTGCAGGGCTTAGGGCGCAGTTTCACTGCCTAATTGCTAAGAGTGAGTGCAAGCTTCTCTTCCTGAGCCTGAAGCAGGACTCCCACTGCAGTGACACATCCAAGGAAGCACCAAACTCAGTTTCTACTCGCATGTGTCAACTCTGTCCCTCCAGCCAGGGCAGGCCTCCCCATCCATCCCTTTACAGCAGCACCACAGGCACTGGATTCATGGCTGGAAGGGTGGAACTGGGGCTGGGGAAGCTCCTCACCTCAGGTTTGGATGAGCCCTCCTATGCTGCAGCTGCACTTGCTTTGATTAAGAGCCCTCTGCACCAAGGGGACCCAACCATCCCACAAGAAGCTTTCCCGGAGCTGCAGTGTTAACCCAGAGCTAACCAGGCCAGACCTGCTTAAACCCTGCACCTACACTTCCAGCTAAAAGGCTGACTGGGACTAATGAGGGAGGAGCATCATTCCCAGCTTCCCCAAAGGAGAAACCACCTCTGCTTTTCAGCACTGCCAGGCGTAGGTTACAGCAGATTGCTTGTGTGTAACAGCCACACTGCTGCCTGCTCAGGAGTTTCGGGTTCAGCTCATTTTAGAGCTGCTTTGCATGAGTCATGGTTGTCTGCAGCTCAGCTTCCCCTCCTTTCTCATGCTGGTGTTACTGTCCCACAGCAGAGCTGTTACACTACAGCGCTTGGCAGGCACCCACAACGTTTCCAAAATACCAGGAGGCCACAACCCCACATTCAGGTTGCATCAGGAGCAAGATAGCAAGCTGAGGGGGTTGTTTAAGGCCAAGCCCACAGTCCCTGCAGTGCTGGAGGCATTAAATATACATCAGCTTCAGGCAACCAGCAAGAGTTTTGGATCTCACCTTTCTCCTGAGCGCAGGGAGGAAGCCTGAAGGGGAAGCCTAATTCCCTGCAAAGCAGAGAGACAGCGCAGAGTACCCAGAAGCCAAGGCCCCAGCTGTTATAGCAACCCATTCCACTGGGGTCATTAAGAGATTAGGCCCAGAACCTGCACATCCAGGTTACTGAGCACAGCAGCATCCCATCAGGGCTGCCTGCAGAGACACACTCCCCTCAGTCCCACTGTCTGGAGCAGGGCTGGAAGTCAGCACCAGCAGACTGGCCACATGCACTCCCCAGGCTGAGGTTCTCCCTCTGCAGACATGCCTCCTTTGGGTCATTAGCACCTTCAAGGGCAAAGAACTCACTGCGCACCCTCTGTGGACAAGTGCTGGCTTTGCTTGGGACAGCCGGTAACGAAGAAGAAACTAGAAGCTGTTTAAATGTGTCAATTCACCTTTAATGTTTGAAAAAAAAAAGAAAAAAATAAATGGTATTTGAGCCATTGCAGTTATGAAGGGAACAGACTTTGCTCCACGAGAGACCGTGAACAGATTCACATTAGACTCATGCTTGGAAAAAACCAAACCCAAAACATTCTCCTTTCAGACCCCCAGTGGAGTTCTGAATAGACAAAGACCACACGAGTGCCCCAGACAGCCCAAGGCATGTTACCCCAGTGCAGACATTTCCATCAACGTGAAGTTATGACAGCTACATTCGTTCTAGTTACAACATTGTTCTATCGATATTACAAAATTAGGCATACTTTGGATTTTGCACAGAGACAAGACGGACTTTTACTTCAGGAAGTCATCAACCTGGGTCATCAAGTCTTTTCACAACAAAGAGTCCCTTCACTGCTCTTTTACCCCCCCAGCAATGACTTATTACCAACACAAAGATCATCTCAGTGACACAACTTAGGTGCAACCAGCCTAGTGATATTGTCTGTGCATCAGTTAACAAACCAATAAACAGACCTGATGACAAGCACCAGGTATTTACTTGCCATCACACAGCATTTCTCCACACCCAGATAGAAGAACTTCCTGCAGCATAATCCAAAAGTCAGTACATACTAAGACAACATCACTGCTGAACCTATTGGAGACCAAGACATTTGTCTGCCTTTGAAGCAGATGTCACATGAGTTTCCTTCACACAAACATCACATGTAAGTTTAACTTCTTGGTACTGTGCTTTAAGAACAAAAGCAGATATCAGAACATGGAGGACACTCCTCCAGAAATAGCTTATCAGCTACAGAAAATAAAAAAAGGAGACAGTGGCCACTTACAAGTCTTCCACATGACTAACTTGCTTTAAGGAGAGCATCGAGTTAAGGCAGTGTTGAGACAACTGGCTAAGAACATGCCAAATAGAGCTGTTGTCAGTAGTCACCAATTTGATATCCTACTCCATTGCGGGGATGGGCCATGTGGCTTTAGATCTCAGTGTCAAGCTCTAAAGACTTCAGCCACAGAATGCCACTTTCTGCAGCAAGCAGCAGCTCAGGGGGATGGCTGTTGAAGTCTTCTAGACCAGGCTGAGTTGGCTTACAAGTCTAGGTCAATGTTTCAGCAGCGCCAAAAATACAGTGATGGACACTGAAAGAGAACACTGAGGGTGCCAGCTGCAAGCCTGTTTATCACAGTCCGAGGTGGAGATCAACTTCGGTGTGAAAGCCACATAATCAAGAGCCACCCCACCAGCTTTCAGGGAAGGTCTAAGTACCTGCACTGAGGTTACTGGGAGAGCCAGCTCTCTACAGTCTGCAGGGTGGGTACAGAGGCTCACACTGGCTTTGCTCCTCTTTACAAGATTAACAGTCTAATAAAACTCAGTAAGGAAGTCAGGATCTTTTGGCCTGCCCAAAGAAGTTTTCCCAGCCTCAAAGAAGGAGTTACCACTGAGGGAGCTGTTGTGGAATAGTTTTATTTCTTCCCACGTAAAGGCCATTGTTTTAAGCATTTACAGGTTTCCTAGTGCAATACAACCAAAAAAAGCAGTAACAAAAAAATGCCGCCTTCTTCCCAGGCAACTAAACAGAAGTAGATTTTTACTGCAACATATACACATTAAATATAGTATACAGTCCATGCAGCGGCATAGCCATGTTAAAGGGAGTCGTGGCTTCAGCCATCAGTGCATTACAGTCCGAATTTCACTTGCTCCTACTTCCTATCCAGACTTGAAGAGAAGAATTGCAACCTGACCCAAGTAAAAATAGATGAAGTGCTTTGTCTCGTGTGTTACATAGCTGCCAAAGTTTCTGCCAACAATGCAGTGCCAAGTTGGGTTGTACTTCTTGTCAAATTCCTGAAGAAAGAGAAGAGAGGCATTAAGGCCAAGAAAGCCCACATGAAAATAGTTCTAAGCACGAATTCTTAGCTGGTTCTGTCCACTCACTATTGCCTCTCCTCCCACCTCCAGCATCTTTTGATTCCCCACTGCAAGACACTGTCATATTAAGCAACCAGACCTCTGCACTGGATAGCTTGAATGATCGAACACAAGCAAATCAGCTTCTGAGCCTTGGAGCACCCATCAGCCCTGGCAGAACGAGCAGACACAAGAGCTCTGCTTGGTACAGCCTATTCAAGCCCTGTGTGTAGGCTTGCTCAGGGGAATATTTCTCCTCTCCCATTCCAAACCCACTCACAAAAAATAAGGTTCTGGCATGTCTGTTCCAGCAAAAGCATTTGAGCTTAAAGGTCACCTAAAATAAGGATGGAGAAGTCTGGCTTTTACTGCTGGGGTCTCTTCACATAAAGGAGAGATAATGTACACTGAAAGCAAGCAGGCAAGTTTACAGGCCAGGCAGCACATGGAGACCTGAGAGGTCCAAGGTGATAAGTTGAATGCTGGCCTAATAGTCTTCTATTTAGCAGTTAAGATGGGGTTAAAGACCATTTTTTTCCCTCTAGTGAATACACAGCTTCCAAGAACACCCTTTCCTCCACCGAGACAGAGTTGAAAGAACAGACCAAACGTTCAAGATTAAAGCCAGTGTTAGTCCTCAGACAGCAGCAAGACAGTTTGAGCTCTTTGCAGGTAACCTTTAAAGTAAGGAAAAGGCTTTCTTGCCAGGGCATGAAGGGCCATCAAATTGCTTTCCTCCTCCCAACACAATCACAGGAAATAAAGGGCAGCTTCTTTTCAGATGCCTTTTTTGTGCCACTCACTCACTTTACAGGCTTCATTGCCCCAAGCAGTTTGAGAGAAGTCTTGCCTCAAAGTGATCAGAGAGGTTAGGAGACACCTTTGAACCCTTTCTATTCAAGCTTAGATTACAAGCAAGGCCCAAAAGCCAGGTGCCAGGACTGCACTCTCTATGAAGTCACTTTCCTCCTTCAAAAGCTCTTTGCCTGACCATTCAGAGAAGTGGCTACAGAGAGAACTTACAGCTCCCCAGATGCCATCAAGCAAGAGACACCTCTTCCCAAGCCAGGGCAGCCGCCTGCATGTTTTTAAAGCAGCACCTTGCACAATCCCAACAGCCAGCACAAGGCCCCATCCTCCTCCACACCACCCACCCCAGAGCCAGGAACACACTGGGGAGAACTGCACGTGCACAGCTGCCCACTTCAAGTGAATCAGTAATCCCACCCTGCACTGGTACTGCAAGTGAGGCAGCAGCATCTCTGGAGCAAGTCCTAAACAGAGACTGCAGCCAGCTCTTTCTAGGCTGGCAAATCCAGAGGGACAGTACTCAACATTGCTCAGAGCTTGCCAGAGCTCTGCCATAGCCCTTCTCTGACCTTGGAGAAGTCATTCCATCCTCTTGGGAACAGCAGTAAAAAAGCCAAGAAGAAAGCACCTTCTCCCTCCAAACACACACATATCAAACCTCAGACACTCAGGCTCACGACAGGCACACATACTTAAGAGCTTCAGGAAGTCTCAGCCCCCTCATCCCGTAGTTACCTTCTTTATATATGCTGCAATGTCCTTTTCTATGTTGTACTTCTCCATTGCCTGTGTAGCACAGTCCACAGCATCTTGCTGCATGTCCTCAGACATGTCTGCATTCTTGATCACAGCCTTTCTGTCAGACATCGTGAACCTAAGACAGAACATAGAATCCTTTAATTCCTTCCCAAGACAGGAGAAGCTTCCTGTGCATCAGAGGTTGTCCTTTCTATGGCACGCTGCGTCACAAGCAGATACTACAAGCCCCCTGTTACAGCCAGGGTGAGTTTCACAGGGTAGCCTACAGTAGTCCCTTGTAGGCTAAGGTGCACCTTACAGCTGGAGCACTGTAGCACTGGCAGTGCCTGGAGGTGAGATCAAAGATAGCCCAACATCAACACCTGAATTAAATTCATGCAGATAAAGCTTACTGTGTGGGAGGAGACGGGATCTGCAGAGAGCCAGAACCCTCCTATAGATCAGTAGGCTAAAGCCAAGTTTGCCTTCCAGGAGCACCAGCAGTTTGGAGCATCATCTGTTCAGAGCCTTGCAAGATCCCAGACTGCCCATCACCAATAGGGAGGCTCAGGAAGCATATGTTAGCAGCAGTGCTTTTATTCCACCACCATCCCAGGTGTTATAGTTACCACTGCTAGTTTAGCCTGGAAGGAGTGTTGTTGTTCCACATTCAGCCTATCATCATTCCCTCAACCTCAGTAACCCAGACTTCAGCTGTTCCCACGGGACAAAGCTGGTCTGATGAGCTAGAAACAGGTTAACACCATGCTGCAGCCTAGAAACAGGGGCAGGGGAAGCAAGCCCCATCACAGAGCTGGCGCAGCCAGGGCCTGGCAAAGCAGCCTCCTTTTTGCCCTCCCACCTGAGAGCCACACCACAGATGTCAGACACCAGCACACCAGTGCTAGTAAAACTCAAAAGCTGTATACTACAGCTGAGCATGCAGCCCCCTTCACTCTGTCATACCAGTCCCTGAAGCCACTTGCACATAGATCTGCCATGGCCTTCCCAGGGAGACACGGAGCACTGGGAAACTTCCAGCACAGTCTGTATTACTGGAGAAAACAGAAACTGGGCAATCCCAGCCCTGCAGCCTTTCTTCAAGCAAAGGCCACACACTTGCCTTGCAGAAGGAGCCCTGTGCAGACCTGCCTCCAATAGACCCCTGCAACCCCCCCAGCCACACGAGGCCCAGTCAGGAGGCACATGTTTTATCTGGGGGACTGGTCAAGCAAAGGTCTTCACCAAGAACCAGTTGCTCATCTTGACAGCAGCTCTTGCCAGAGCATGTTAAAAAATATGGGAATAAGCTCCCTAATGACAAGGAGTACCTCCAATTAAGCCTGCAAGGCACCTCTAAGTCTTTTTACAGTGCTCTAAGTCTTGAATGATACTACCAAGCATGTTTTGAAATAGTGAAACTACACATTTTTAGCTCTACTGGGGAGTGAAGAAAATCTGCTGCAATGATCACTTCCTGGAATAGTCCCAGAAAACTGAAGGAGTAGCTTTGTTACAGCAATTAAAGGAGCCTGCTACCCAGAGAGAAAGAGAATCCACTTACATAATTGCAGCCCTATGATTACAATACTTCAATTCTTCACTCTGCCTGCACTTGAAGGCTTCTATTGCAACCTTAATTTATACGGTTTAGATACAATGTTTAATAGAGCACTGCTATTAACATACGCTAATAGCATCAGGAGGAATGACAGGAACTGAGCTCAAATGCCAACAGAGAGCACACGCCCCTACCACAGCTCTGGAAAAGCCACTTCCAGGCAGGTTGCTCCTCTCCATGCTGTGGTTTAAACTGGGGGCAGAAAGCCCAGCAGGACAAGGTACAGCTCACAGCAGCCCAACCAACCGCCTGTAGATTTGCAGTCTCTTGGAAAAAAGTGTTCTGGGGGTTCAGCCCACAGGGAAAGGAAGTAGCAAACATCCACTCGTGGCTCATTCTTCCAGGAAAGCTTCTTTAGGGGGAGTGGCAAGCTCTCACACACATCAAGCCTTCACATACCTCTGCTACATGCTGAGTTCAGAGGGCCATTACATAACCAGCCACGGAGTGACCTGCAAAAAGCATCTCCTTTCCTCATTGTTTAGGCAAGGAGCATCTCAGTGCAGGCCCATACTGCCAAGGGCCAACAGCGCCATAGAAAAGGAGAACGATTCTCCTTCAGCAGAGTTGCAAGTGCTGCCCTCCCCACAGCACCACACTGCTCCACAGCACAGCATCCTTCACAGGCCAACCCACAGCAGGGACTGGCAGCTGACAGTACTGCTGCAGAGATGGTCCCCTGTACCCATAGTTGGGCAGGAAGCAGCTCCAGGGGTCACCCCACTCCACAACACAGGGCAGGGCCCCAGTCCCAGCTCATTACCCCACGGGATTACAGAAGCATCCTCCCCACAAGCATCCCAGCAACACCACATACACCTCTTGTCCCTAAACCACAACATCATGGCTAGCCCTCAGGGCCTCACCACCTGAGTGTGGCCCTCTCAGACAACAACCACAAGGCCTCTGCATCCAACCCAGGACAGGACAAGGCTGGGAGGCAGAACAGTACCACTCCAGCAGCCACCCCTTCCCCAGCCCAGGGCAGGATGCAGCCTTGAGGAAGAAAAGGCCATAGTCCCAGCAGAAACTCTAGAGCAGGATGAAGTCCTGGGGTGGGAGGTGAGGCCCAAACCAGCACCCAAACCTTCCCTCACCAGGGCAAGATGAGCTCTTAGAAAGAGCGTAACAGCCAAGTCCAGCACCCAACCACTCCCCCCAGCAGGGCAGTGATGGGACTCTGAGAGCTAAATGATGCTCAAGACCAGCTCCTGCTCCTTCCCTCACCAGGACAAGATGCAGCTTTAGAAACGGGATGAGGCACAAGCTCCCGCACGCACTTTTTCCCTCACTGGGCAGGACAGGGCCCAAGCCCAGCACCCATCACTTCTCCACCAGGACAGCACGGAGCCCGAAGGTGGCGATGAGGCCCAAGCCTAGCACCTACCACTTCCTCAATCACGATCCTAGAAGAGAGGTGCGGCACAGCCCCTTCCCCACCACGGCACAAGGGGGCCCGGGGAGACGCTCCCAGGAGCCGGGCGCATGTGCAGGCCCGAGCCCCGCGTGACCTTCACGGGGGGAGCCCCGGGGCCGCCCGAGGCAGCGGTGACCTTGCCCGGAGCGGAGCCGGCAACAAACCACCGGGGCGTGGCGGGCTCCGAGCGCCGCCGGGAGCTCCCTTCAGGCCGCAACCGCCGGCCGGCCAAAGCCGTTACCCCCGCCTCCCTCCCGGCCGGCCGGCCGTGCCGCCACCTCTTCGCACACGGAGCAACCAGTACCCACCATCCGGGTCGGCGGAGAGTGTCGCTCACCTTCACAGTGACAGGGCCACCCCGGGAGGGCGAGGCACGGCACGGACCAGAAGGAGGTGTGAGAAGGCCCCGGAACCGCTCCGCCTCAACCCGCTCCGCTCCGTGCGCCGCGCCGAGCGTTCTGCGCCTCACCGCCGCGCCGCGCTCAAATACCGCCCCGCCCGCTGCGGCGCGCGGCCCGTCGCTTCCCCATTGGCTACACCGCCCGGAACGCCGCGCTCTTATTGGCTGCTCTGCGGCGCTCCCCGCCGCCCCGGCCCGTCCGCCCGCGCTGTTCTGCCTACATCCTGTTTCATCCCACAATGCAGCGGGGCGAGCGCGGAGAGGGGCGGGGCCTCGCGGGGGCGGGGCTACCCCGGTTCTGTGAGGGAACGGGTCCCGGAGCCGCCGGGACCCCCAAGAACCGGCCCAGGGCCCCCGATCCCGGGCGCGCTGATTCCTTTGGAGCGGTCTCTGCTGCCTTAAGGAGCCATGGCTCCTCTGTGGGAGTCCCCTCTGCCCTGGGGACCCCGATCCCGCGGTGACCGTGAGCCCCTGGGAGGGGCCGGCTGCCTCTGGTAGACCTGATCTCCTGCGGGGTAACTGCTGAACTCTGTTCCCCATGCAGCACTGTGATACCCTGGTTTGCATTACTGCTCTGCCTGAAGTAAAGCCGTAGTAAAGCTCAGCCTTAGCAAGTGAGCAGGTGCCAGTGCCATCAGAGCAGGATAAAGTGCTGTGTATCCACCACAGCATCGCTGTGGCAGGATCCTTGCGGCGGGCAGGGGCTGGCAGTCAAACCTCATGCTATCGTTGCGTGCACACCTCAGGGTGGGAGACAGCAAAGGAGACTCATGCTCATAACCCCTGCGCTGGGGCTGGCAGCGAGGGAGCACCCAGCGGGATCCTGGCACGCTGCTGCAATGCTGCTGCTTCGGCCCCTTGGAGCTCCGGGCACGCACCTGCCCCATGGGCCCGGCTGCCATGGACACCTGCCAGCCCCTGCTTGGGTTGCTCCATTTCACCTGAGCAGAGGTGCCGAGCGAAAGGAACCACCTGAAGGAAAGCCCAGCAGAACACAGTCCCGGTTCCCTGCTGTGAGCAGTGGTGAGATGGAGACGGTGCTGCCTGCGCTCATCCGGCTCTCAACGAGACCAGTGTTAATTGCACGCGTGGCCTTGAGAACCAGGTACTGGAATCTATCTAATGTGATTGCTCAGGGAGGACAAGCCTACAGCTGGTAACAGCACTCAGGGGACAGGCTGGAGTTCACTCCATGGCTGTGTATTTGCCGCTCAAGCAGGCAGCCCATGAATGGGCTGATCCTTTTTGGCTAATGAGATGGGTATTTTATGGTGTGACCTTTGCAGCCTCTGAGGTACTGGTCAAAACTGCCACCAGCAAGTAAGATATTTACTATTCCCAAATTTACCTGAGCTTCAGCAGCAAGACTGCAGGAGCCAGAGAGCAGCAGCAAAAGTGAGGCTGCACTAAGTTTGTAAACCCAGTGCTGGTGGCACAGGACCTGCCTTCAGATAGGTAATATGAGGGCGTCAGCATCCCCTCAGACCCCAAACACATCAAGTGCGTCAGTTGGGAATGGCTGTGGCTCCCTGCTCTCTGCCTGGCACCACACACAGGAGCAGTGGACATCCCATGGCAGCACCAAGAGCTGCTTGGGCTGAGAAGTAGTGTCAATAACTGAATACACAGCCAGAGCAGAGGGTTGGGCTGCAGCCATCAAATTGCAGCCTCAGGCTTAAACACAGAGATCCCTCTGCACTGCTCTGAGAAGGAGCTGATACTCTCCCTGCACCCCTGGAGCAGTGTTTTTCCTGCCTTCTCCTGCAGGTTGGCTTTCCTTGCTCCATCTGCAGGAAGGGGAGCGGACAGTGCCCATCCTGCTGGGATGCAGGCGATGCCCTGCACCCACTGACATGCTTTGGGTCAGCACAGGCCACCCCAGCTGGGCCCCTGGCTTTGGCTGGGCTGCATGCCGGTGCTAATGCAGTAACAGGCTTAGCTACAGCCCTTTATGAGCTCCCATCTCAACAACAGCGGGAGTAAATATTGTTATAGTGCTGTTTCCAGGGGCTCTGGATGGCTGGAGGGGGCTGAGGTGCTGATCTTGGGGCTGAGGAGGGGGGGAAAGGCCCTGTCTGGGCAGTCAGGGGTGCACAGAGTGTGCTCCAGCATTAGTGGCTGCTTCTGGCTCCCAGATCAATCCTGCCTCCTTCCCCAAAGAGTCTGCAGCATGAGGAGGTGAAGGAGCTGTGCTCCTGCCCAGCACAGCCTGGCTGTGGCTTGGCACTGCCCTTGGCATGTGGAGGAGCACGGCCTTGATGGAATAAAGTGCTCCAGATGCCAGGGAGGGAGCTGCGTTCCTGAATGGTGACAAAAAGCATTTATTTAGAAATTCCTCTGAGTCACTATATAAGGCACTTCACAGGGATTCACAGGAAAAGGGCCTGGCAGCGAGGAGCTGTTTGCCATCTAAGGCTCTGCTCCTCCTGCCCTGTGGCCACGCACTTCCCATGGGACACATTTCCAATCCCAGGAGATTTGAAGTCAAAACCCACAAACTGCCATAAGAAATGCAGAGATCTGGGATCCAAAGGCTGGGAGTGTGGCTGCAGCATCCCACAAACTGTGCATCCATCCTGCACCTCCACTGTAACACCCCTCATAGGAGATTTTTCCTCTTATTTAATCTAAACCTACTTTGCTATAACTTAGCCCATTACTTGTGCTCTGCCCTGCCATGGACGTGGCACACTGATGTATTTTGAAGCATGTGTCTGTAGCAGATGACTGTCGAAATGTCACCTTTGTCTCCTTCCCTCGTGTCTCCTTGTGCTTCTCCAGGCTCCAGCATCAGTCACTCTCTTTCACCAATAATCAATAAAACCAGCAGAAGTAAAGAACCTTCTTTTATTAATTCCCCTCCTCACTCTCCCCACATGTCCCAGAGGATGTGTGTGAGCACCAGGCACCCTGGAGCAGAGCCGCCGCTCCACACTAAGGGAGGTTTGGCCACTTCATCATATCAGCATAAACCCTCTCTGTCAGGCCCTGCCTGCTGCAGCTGGAGCACGAACATCACACGCTGCGGGCACTCTTCCTGTCTGGTGACATTGCAATCACTGATAATCATCCTCCTGTGGCTGAAGCATCGAGCAGGGAGCCCGCAGCTCCTTGCAGAGATGCGCTGCAAGGAGATGTAAGGGTGAGAGGGAAGCACTGCCAGCAGCTCAACCAGCACCCAGCTCCTGCCACGGGGGAGCCTTGCAGGGTCAGACCCCTCACAAAATGCAGTATTCTCCCCTGCAAGTGACAGCCCACCCATGAGGCAGCCATGGGGTGAGGTGGATCTGCCCTTCCACAGGCTGCAGTCCCCATCCACCAGCTTCCCAGCTGCTGCAGCCGCATCCTCACCTGTTATTTTGTACCAGGAGTTGATTGTTTTGGCAAGTGCTTTGCAAACTGCATGAGGGAGGGTTTGTGATCAGTCCAGGGCTGTGCTTTGATCAATCTTGTCTGTGAAGCAGTTTGCAGTGCCCTGGTTAATGTACGTTATTGTCTCCCTGAATCCCGCTATAGAACCTGAATAAATCCCGTGGAAAAAGAAAATGCCCTACAAAAGGAAACGTAAAACTCCAGCAAGGACCTGCAATGCTGATGCTGAGGGTCTGGTGACCATAAACACTCAATATAAGACCCCAGGTCCTTCAGTTTATGGTTCACAAATTTGGGATGATAAAGTGTTTTCACTACCTGCCATCCTCTTTGAGGCACAGATCCAGTCTGGGTTCATTTCTGTCTCCCATGAGTTACTCTCACGTCCCGTAGGGAATGGGAACCACATTCTCCTTGTGCCTGGTGCTCCGAGCACCTCATCCATGCCTAATCTATAAAGGCTTTCAGTCCAGAGTGCACAAAAACCAGCCCTAGAGCTGTCCCCCAAGCTCCCCAGCTGGGAAGAGGGCCACTACCCATTATTGCTGCTGGGATCAGTGGGTCTCAAACCCCCAGACACATCCTTGGGCCATGCAATGCCCTGTCCCCAAAGGCACCAAAGCCCTTTGGTGTCCAGTGTGCACTATGCAATAGCTAGACTTGTCTACTTGTGCACTAGACAATAGCTCATGTCTCTTGTTGGATCTGCCCTGGAGCAGTGGTAGCTGCAGCGTGGCACCACAGCAGGGCAGCCTGGGCTCATCTCCAAGGCAAACGGGCTTAAAACTGTGACAAGCTGTAGATGGCTCCTTGTCTAACGTTGCTTTCCAGGAGGTACTGCGTTCCTTGGCATCCTGCAAGCGAGGTAGGAAAAACTAATACTAAACCACTTGTGAGCCTTATTAATATGGAATCAGGTCATCCACTCGCTGCAAGTTTTTGCAAGTGACTCGCGGTGTGCAGTTCATGCAGGAGCTGTAAATAAGAGCCTGGAATCTCAGAGGGGTCCTATTAGGAACACAACTGCCTTGAGCATGCCAGGGATAAGGGGTGATGCAGCCCAGCCCTGGCTAACAGACCAGCTGGGTGCAGAGAGCTGGGAACTCGCATCAATCTGATCCGTTCTGAAGTGAAAAATAGCTTTGGAGACAATGTAAACAAAGGAGTTTGGTCCTACAAGGAAGTTGGTCCTACAAGGGGCCCTGCCTGCACATCAAAGGCTTCCTAAATCTCTTAAGGCTGGAAGTGCTTTTGGGATCCTCTACTGCACGCTCCTGTGAGCCACAGGGCTCACCGGGGTTGGGTTTGTGGTTGAGCATTGCTCTCGGATGAGCTGTGGGTGCCAAGGCAATGCCGGGTTGCTTTGGGGTGGTTGCAGGTTTGGGGTTTCCTCCTGCAGCACATCCATAGAAGCCTCTCTGTTTCCTCCTTCCTCCCCTGCTGTGAGCCACAGGCTGCAGTCCCATGGGGTGTCCCTGCTTCAGGAACCAACTGGGAAACCAGTGTAAATTGGTGTTCATGCATGGAATAGCTCAGCAGTCATGCACACTAACATTCATATGCAAACCAACTGTGTGCCCATGCAGGGACTAATGGGGAATTCATGCATGGACTAATCCTGCACTTGTGCATGAGCTCACTGTGATTCTGTGCAGGTCCACTACAGGACCTTTTTGGTTGCTCCTGCACTGGTCAGGCACTCCTGCACCTCCAGAGCACTCATGG